AAACTTCACTTATTTATCATTAAGCTTTAACTTCACTCACCTAATATTTTCTCACACAAAAATTTCATTTTGAACTCATTGGAATCATCATATTAATAAAAACAATATGGCTATTTCCCGTACTTTGCTTCTTGGCCAAAAAAATTCAATAAATAAGAGCATAATTCTAAGTTTGATTTCCATGATTCCAACACATGTTTTCAAGTCCTAAACACCATCTAATCCTTATTTAATCATCAAAATGTCAAATACTAATACTTTTTAAAATTTGACAGCACTTGCGTGGAGTCTCATCATCCTCACTAAAATAATCAATCAACAAAAGGTAACAACAATCACAACATACACTTAACCTAACCTCTAAACTTGCATTTTCTTACTTCCAATCACTTGGACTTGAATTCCTTCTTCTTCCATCCATTAAGATAATCTAAGGGAGGATTAAGAAGTCATGAACAAGAGAAAAATACCAAAACCTTGCCTGAATTGTGAATTAGACAAGAAAAATTACCGATGAAGCCTTAAATCTCTTGATCCTTCTTCTTCTTCTTCCTCTTCCACGCACTCTCTCTCTCTCCCCTCTATGGTGTGCTGACCGAAATATGCTAATGGAATTGAGAGAGTTGTGGTTAAAGGAGAAATGTTAACCATGTTTAACAAAATTTTCACTTCCATTGATCTACACCAAGTATTTGTCTTCTTTTAATTTGGGCCAAGTAAAATAAACAATAATATTTTAGTCTCCTGTTCTGCCCAAAGCTCCTCCAAACCTTTAATCCTAGATTGAATTTTGGGCATGTTCTTAACCTAAATGAATTTATTTCTATAATAAATTCCTTTGAAAATTATTAACCAATAAAATTGGTATTATTCTTTAAATATTTCTTCCTTTCTTATACTAATTTCCTTTAATTCTTCATGAATTTTGATAATTTTTTATAATTAGGCTTCAAGAGCCAAAACTTTTAGAAATTACATTTTGACCCAAGTTGAGCTTGACATTACTAGGTTAACATTCACTTTTGTTCACTTTTAACTCTGGGTACTTTCTTATACTCTGACTATATTTAATTACATATATTACCCTTGAAAATTAATAATTATTATTTGGTCCTAGATAGGCTATTACTCTCAGTCACTTTTGTTCTCTTTTATTTCTTAGCCTAGCAATCTAAGAAAAAGTTAAGGATACTCACTCTACAATAGTTATCCAAACTTAAGAGGTTTTTGTATTTTAAACTCATCCTACGCTATTGCCTTCTCAGAGAATTGTCATATACTATGTAGCTCAGTAACTTAGCTTTCTTTTAGGTTTACTACAACTATAAGATCTAACATAGATTTGGAGATCTAATTGCAATCTCACTGAGCCCTTTCTATAACTACTATAATCCATAGGATCTAACTATGATCCTTCTCTAAAAGACTCAAGATATAAGAATAAAGTTGTTAAATAACTATCTCTATTTAGTCTAGCAACTGAATTGATTATTGTCTAAGACTAATTTTAGATATCTCTATTGCCCTCCTAAGCCTTATTTATTTCTTTTAGCCTATCTTAGATTTTTCTGAACTATAACTTACTCATATTTCAATTAAAGACACTTTCTTGATGTCTCTTAAATTATATACTTTTGTCCAAGAAAAACTTTAAAATTATGATTTAGTCCTTGATAACCATTCTATCTTTTTAGAGCCTTAAGGACTCTTGATTAATTGGGCTTAGTAACTTACTAGATTCTTGCATATTCTTGAGCTGCTAAGCCCAAAGTTCAAGATGTTATAGGGAGCTTGGTTATTTTAGGGGTTTGGCTTTGGATGAGTTGGGATCATTAAATGTTGAAGCTTTGAAGATGTTTGAAGCTCAATTTTTCTTCTTGTCGTCTAATATGACTAATACTTTGTGTATCTATAATTTTTGGATGATCATGAGTGGCTAAACTCATTATTTTATGATTATTTTGAATCCTTGTATAGATTATAATACTAATTTTCTTCTCTCTTTTTGTGATTAATGATATATAAATATTTATTTTACTTTTCTCTCCATGCTTTCAAGTATTTGGTTACCATATATATGCTTTGTTCATTTGAAGGATGCTTGAAAATGATAGGTTGAGTATAGAACTTGTGCAAAATAATACAAGAATTTAAAGTTTTCATTATAGGTGGATAATTTTGTTAGTAAGGTAGAGATGCACTTACTAACCTTGTATAGCCACATTCGGTTTAGAGTTTAAAATTGAGTTTTTTTTTTATAATGTAACAAGATATTGAGCAATTTATATTAAACACTTGTTCATGATTTGAGAGAGTTTGTTTAAATATTTTTAAAATTCTAGATTAGCACTTATTCTCATTAAAAATATTTATGATAGAAGGTAATTTTAGTGTTATGAAATGTAAGGAGTTATATAATCTTAGGTCCCAATCCATACTTGAAGTCTAAAAATCATTTGCTTTCTTTATTCTCTAGCTTTAATATCAACTTTGTCCAACCATTGTGTTTTGCTCAACTTAATTGAAATTGTGAAATCTTTTGATGGCATTTTTTATACAAATCACTATGAAAATGATATTTTACTTATATTTTATTATTCGTTATGGCCCGTGTATTTATAGAATTCAAGAGCAAACAAGTGTACATGTCATGATAATTTTGAATAATTAGACAATTTTTTTCTTATTGTATCTTGATAAGGGGAAGGGATATTAATAGTGTGCTTTACCCATCATCATGATATTAATTGTGACACTATTAGGAGTAAATTGGAAAATTGTTTTGATTTCATATACTTAAAACTAAATAACAAATTTTTATTGGTATGTAAAATACATAGAAGTATGTCTTTAAAGCAACTGGGTGGAGAGTCAATTCTTCTTCTTTTTTTTTCCATAGCAAAATTGTTCAAGTAATTTGGATTCCTTGGAGCTTTCTCATAGCATACCTTCAAATTTAAAGAATTCTTACAAAAATATTTACCGATCAACCACTAACAAAACCCTCACATTGGTACTGAGATTTAAACCAATAACCTTTTGAGTTATATGGGCCAAGTTCCTAACCAATTGAACTAACCTTGTTAGTGCTAGAGGTTCAGTTCTTAATATTTGGTATATATGAAGCAAATATAGTTAGAAGACATGTATACTATATGCCCCTGATACTTTTAGAGGGATTAATAGGCTTTATGGTTGGCGGAGGATTTTTTTTTCTCATCTAAAAAATGAAGAAAAAACTAATCAAATATTCTAACCCATCAACTATAAAAGCAAATAAAAGTTCAGCTGCCTAGAGCAATAAAATGCTCAGAATTCAAATCCTTAAGGGTTAAAATATACTTTTATTTTTTTAATTTTATATAAGGTTTTAATTTGATTCCTTAATTTATAAAAAAATTAATTTTTTTAATTCTAACACTGCTAGCTTTAAATTATTTTTTTGTGCTAATAATTATTTTTTAAAAAAATTAAACTTAATATGTTAACATTTAATAATATTTTGTCAATATTTAAAAGTTTAAATTAAAAAATTTGTGTGATGAAACTAAGGTGTTAGGATTAAAATACTGAAAATATACTTTATAAATTTAAGGGACTAGCAAAATGAAACATTATGTAAAATTAAAGGACTAAAAATATAGTTTAACTAATTATTACAATATAAAAAATAATAGAAATTCATAGCTACGTTAAAGAAAGAGTACCGGAGATTTAGAAACTAATCAAATAGGTAAAGAAATATTAATCATATACATAATATTATAACGAAGGTCGAAGGATTCTAGAAGTTAGCTTATAAGAAGAATAGAATGAGAGAAGAAAACACAAGAAAGGCTGTAGTGCTTGTAAATGATTCGTGTAAACACTTAAATTATAAAACAAAATCCTAAAAGTTAAATCAAATAAATTATTCTTCACAATGCAAGGCCCGTGATACCGTACGCATGCTCTTCATTATTAATTATAAGGTCATCAGTACAATTAATTAACTTTGATCACTTTGTCGAAAATCTAATTCTGATAACTGCCAGTACGATGTTTAATTGTTGATGTGTCTTTGAATTGAATATAACTCTCTTGGATCTACTACTGTGTGTAATTGGTCCCGTCCACGTGACAATGTTCTTGTATCCCGACGAAGATTTGTTTTCTGAAACAATCAAAGCCCTCTAATATTTTAATTAACATAAGTGAAAACAAAAATTTAAAAATTTATGTCTCATATTTAAAAATTTAATTAACTAAGAATATGGCCAAGTGTAAGTGGTTCTCTTCACTCGGTCTCTTGCATGTCAAAACCTTTTGTAGGTTGCTCTTTCCATAATATTAGCCTTTCAATGGAAAATACTAATGTCATCATTACAAGTTCAAAAAAAGAAAGCTCTTTGAACTTATAAATCTAACTTATCTTGTGAAACTTTTCAATATGAGACCCACTATAAGTGGCAAGGCGATGACTTAACTGCTACAGTAATTGTTTTTTAATTAGATTACAAGGGGTCAAGCGGGATCGAACCAGTGAACTAACACAACCAAGGATGAGTATCATGCCATTAGGTTACCAATAACACGTTGAAGTTTAATTTAACCTTCAAATCTTAATTTGTACATATTGTTTGCTATATTATATTATATTATATTATATTATATTATTTATTTATTTATCAGTATTGCTTGTTTAGTCAAAAATATAATCTAAAAAATATAAAAGACACAGAAATTTTAAACTACAAAAATTTGAACTTCTCTCTTGAATTTGAACTCGTCGTCAAAGATTGACAAAGATATAAAATAAAGACAATCCTAGAAGTTACGTTTGTTATGAGGGTTATATTTCGTCAAAGGAAAACAAATATTTCTGTGTCCAAATTACATTTATTTGATCAGAACTGGTCTACAAACTAAATAATTCAACACGAGGTACAATTGAGAGTTTTATCATCTAAAATGTACAGAGATATACATATTCAGTTATCCACTATATATGTCTGAACGTTGGGAGAACTTCATATATATGGAATTGATGCTGTTTTGATTCTAACAATCTCCGCTGCAGAAAACTTGATCTTCCCACAGGAAAGAGCTGTTGCTAAGCATCTGTAATCTGCCATAGGAATCAAGTTCTTGGTTGTAATTTTCTGAATGAACAACATAAACATGTGTGTTTGTTTTGAAGCTGTGAGTTTATTCATCAGTTTGAGAGATAAACCCCAGTTCCATTGCTTTGGTTGATGGCTCACAAGATTGAGGCTGTGGCTGTCTCAGCTGTAGATAGGTTGGTGCATGCAACGCTTCACAAGTCTAATTAAAAGAAAAATGACACTCCATTTAGTCTCAGAAAGAAAACTTGAAATGTTTAACTTTTCATTTTAATATGGTTATCTAATTGAGTCAGATTCAAGAATTGTTAGGTTTAATTAAAGGTAACTCCTTCCACTAGATTCAACCATGTGTTGGTGACAATTTAACTTTAATAGATAGTGTAGGCACAGTAGATGGTATCATCATCTTCCCTCCTTTTTCTTGTGCAATTGTGGGCTAGCTTGTTGATTGTATAAGCATATACGCTTGTGAGACTGATAAAATTTTATAATGGAAAGATGAATAGCACGTGTACATGATCTAACTTGATAAAATGTTTTTATCAACTTAATTACCTTCTGTAATTCTGCATTTTCTTTACTAATGACTTTAATCCTTTTATAGAGTTCTACATTTTCTTGACTAATTTGATATCCCTGCAATATAACAGCACATCAACAAAATGAGTCAGAAATTTTGGGAATGAATTTCATACTTGGCAAGATCAGAAATAGTATTCTTGAATACCTTTTGATGCAACTTTTTAATCTCATCCTTTAAACATTGTTCCTGAGGATAATTTAATGATCAAGTTAAATGCTTGTCCAGTAAAAAGCGACGAGACATGTTAAATTAAATGAAGATATGAGTTGAATTTATCTATGAAACCTTTTTGATCCGGACGCTTCTTAAACTTATCCCAAGTTGATTTTCCAAATTTCGCAATTCATTAATGCTCAAACCAGAAATTTGTTCACCCATCAATTGCCTGCATTTTAATTTCCAAAACGGGAAATGAGTTACTTCTGGTTTACCAAGTAGCTATAGTCTCTTAAATTCAAAGGATATAAAAGGAATGAAACAATTGCTATTGAAAAGAGAGTTTATGATAGTTGAGTGAGTTCTAAAGTATTAGTGTATTGCACTGCTTGTTCATTTGCATTTTTTTGATTGCCTGCATGTAATATATATCATGCTCAAGGCACTGTCAGGCGCTAATATGGACACATCTCCTCGTATATGTGATCATCTGCTTTTTCCCCCATGTTGAGACCAAAATTTTGCCAGCAAAAAGTAATAATGCTCCTTCCAATATTTGATTTTCTTCTTTATAATAGAGTAGTGATTAAGTTTTGTTACCTGTGGCATTCTTGCAAGTGTTGCAGTTGTTGCCTCAAAACTGTTGCTTCTCTTTGCCAAAACTGCCAAATGAAAAAACATATATCATCAAATATATATATATATATACAGCTTAAATATCATGTCGAATAAAGAGTAATGCAAACATGAGGAAGAAGGCATGAATTGTAACCCAAGATATAAGTATGAAGATGCAAGAATATTATTTAGCTGTCTTGATGACATCATGTCAAGAGACATGCATGGTTCCATATGGGAGATAGTTAATTTCTAGTTATATAGTGTTAATATCATTAGATCATGTGCGTGACTCGGTGCTTCACACTTAGCCAGCATAATTAATTTTCCCATTTTTCTGTAAAATAATCTTATTGCTTGGTGATGAAAATGCAAAGGCAACGGAAGTTGGAACCTTAATTTGATGCACTGTTGTAGTAGCTAGAGTAACCATAGAATGAACTGTAAGAAGAAACCTCAAAAATATGTGTTGAGGAATGGTATTTAATTTAAGCTTGTACCTTGACTTCTGAAGCAGGATCTAGTAGCTGACAATGGTCCCCTTTCTGTTCATTGTAGCGATCAATAATAGATTTCATGCTGCTATAAGCAGAGATAACCCAATCAAAATAAGATGAAATTAAATACATGTTATAGAATCTTTGTACGTATCATTTCTGTTCAAATTACAACTTGCAAGAGACAATATTTATTATGAACTTAGAAGATTAAACAAGACTCCCTCCATCTCAAGTTATAAGGCACTTTTAGAAAAGATTTAGCATCTCAAAATATAAGACACTTTGATAAAAATAAAGTTTTATTAATAATACTTTTTCAATATTACCCTTCCCATATATTCTTTCTATTCAATATTCTTTCATCAATATGAAGTGTTGAATGAACAGTATTTTTGAAAGCTTATATTTTTGTCTTAAAAAAGTAATGTTATAAAGTGTATCTAATGAATTTTATTGGTATATGATATTTTGTTTAAAAGTATCTTAAAATTTAAGACAGAGAGAGTATTTGTTAAACTTGACATTATTAGGGTAAGCTCCCTAAGGACAATATTAGGATATGCTTTCACAAACAAGGGAAGGCATTAATTGATGCTTGGTGTGCACTGGATTTACTAGATCCTCCCTTCCCCCCAACCAAGAAAAAAAAAAAATCTTCCCTCTCTCCTGTGTCTCTGATCAGTTACATGTGCTCAACTATTATATCTGCGTGCTATTTTGAACATTTTTCATGACATTTAGAACCATTAATTAGTAATTGATAATTTTTCAGTTGATATATCATGTATTAAAAGAATAATGAGCATGGGTAGTTTTTGAGCTAAAATGGATTATTATTGCCCTGTTTTTTTTTTTCCCGTTCTAATAATATACTCTTTTCGGTCTTTTTTTTATAAAACACTTGGAGGGAAAACTTTTTTGTCCTTTTTATATGAGATATCTATTACATATTTTCCATAGTACCCTTATTAATATATCAAGGCAATGATACACATAATCATCACGAAGATCATCTATTAAGACATGATCAGAGTCATCGTAAAAGTTGTGAAATCAATACATTTTAGCACCAAGAATTTGTGGGATTTTCTTTATAAGCTCAAGAGCTTTATATTTACTCTCTCCAAATCACAATATATAGCATTAGTAACTTCACAATTCTAAAAAACAAAATTAGATGAGACCTTAATTTTTTTAAAAAATTTGCATTTTTCAATCATACCCTCATTTAATATTTTATATAAAGTACCTTGATAATGATAACCGAAATTTCATTGCATCACTTTTTCAAAAATATTAATAAATAAAGCAAAGATATGGTTAAAAATAATGATAAAAACTATATAATGACTTATATTTAATTTTGAACTAGTTTGGCAAGACTTTATATTGTAGTCGAGAAAGAGTGAGTCATTATAGAGTTGAGTGTCTAGGAGTCAAAATAGGGGAAAAGTTGAGGATGTGGGATGCAAGGGCTTCGTGATTCTAATTCTATTCATGTGATATTGGGCCACGTGTAGATCTTATTTGCGAAATTGTTCATTATGCACAGTTTGTTTGTTTGTTTTTTGGACAGTTTCTCCTTTTCTCTTTATGATAATAAGATATTTTCCTAACTATTTTCAAGAATGGTGTTATCGTTGTTTTAATTTATAAAACACTTTTAAATAAAATTTTATATATAAATAAAATTTATTGAATATACTTTATCACCTTAATTACTTTTTCAAAAGAAAACTATAAACTTTTAAAAATGTTCTTAATTTAATATTTCATTTATGAAATAATATTAAAGATAGATACTATATGAGAAGGATAATATTAAAAAAGTATTATTAATGAAACTTTATTTTTGTTAAAGTATCTTGTATTTTGCAATATTAAAACTCTCTCAAAAGTGTCTTATAAATAAGATGGGAGAGTACACTTTAGCTAGGGTTAAGGTTAGAAATAGTTCTATAAATAAGGTGACAATTTCTTCATTTGCCAGACCCAATTTGATTGATTGAATAAATCAAAATTTTTCTCTCTCAATTTCTCTCTCCTCCTCCTCCTTTTTGTTTCACATAAAGCGGGTGGTGGGGATAATAGAGGACGGAGAACAAGAAGAAAAAAAGGGGGAAGCTAGACGAATAGGGAGTTGGCTTTCCTCCTTTACAGTGAAGGAAATACTATAGATCAGGACAATTAAATTAATTTGATGTTCTACATTTGATAATTTATAAAAATAAAAATTTAATTTGAGCAATTCAGATTTGCAGTGGAGGAGTGGTGGAGGAAAAACTCAATAGAGAGAAACCAGTCTGATGAATAGTGGGAGAAAGAGAATAAGCTCAGGGATACAGCACTCAAGCAATCAAATTTGTTAAATTCATCAAAAGGCCTAACAAGTAATAAAAAAAACCTAGCATTATTTAAGGAAGCAAATTATCCCAAAAGTAAAAGGCAAACTAAGTAAATCATACTAATTAAATAAAAAGGAGAGAATTGCATCTAAGGATCTCCAAAGGGAATTATTAGAAAAGTTTAGCCAATAGTAATCTAATGACCAATCATTTTAATAACAAATAATTTTATATTGATTCTTATTTGTGAATAATTCTCTTAACAAGTTTTTAGATGTGATTCTTCCAATAGAAAAGTTTAGCCATAATAATCTAAAAATTACATTTATTCAAATGAAATCTTGATACGAATCAAATTTAAAAGATAACCCTGTTAAAACAAGAACTCTAAATCTAGATAATCCTGTTTCACCACATAGTCTCGCCATTTAGGTTTGTAAGTATCAACCCAGACCATGTCCATTTGCACTCCACAATCAGAAAATCCTTATCAAAATTTATAACTAACCTTAATATGTTGTATATAGTTATATATTTATATGTATGTATGTGAACGGAGAATTAATTTAAGATCAGCTAGCAGAAGGAGTTTCTGATATTTCTATCAAGCCCTACACACACACACACACACCCACCCCAAACCTATAGGCAAATATATATAAGATCAGGAAAAAACAGCCAAACATACAAATCTAAAGCATCAATCTTCGAGCTTGCAGATGCTCCGCTCTCTCTCTCTCTCTCTCAAGACACACACACACAAAGTGGTGCGAAGATATAAGAGAACATGTTAGTTTCTTCTTGTACCAACAACCACACAGTATTGTTGCTGAAATTGGAACACAACTGCATAGTACTGACAGGATATCATCACATTTCATCTCGGTAGAGAGGAAAAGAAAAAAAAACCAGAAAAGAAGAAGATCTAAAGGCATATTACTTAGATCAAAGGAGGGATCAGAAGCACAGTGAAAATAACTTGCTGAGACTGCTTTTGAAATAGCAAAGAAAGGAAAAATAAATTAAGCTGGGAAGGAACCTGGAGCTTCCATATTCATAGAGCTTGCCGGAGCTGGAGAAGACAATAACACCAACTTGTGCGTCGCAGAGGATCGCAAGCTCCCTCGCTTTCTTGAACAATCCACTTCTTCTTTTTGAGAAAGTCACTTGCCTGTTCGTTGAATCATCGATCCTCTTGATCGCAATCTTTGCTCTGCCCATCTCTCTAGCTAGGGCTTCTCAGACCAGCTGCCGCACAAAAATCCGTAATAATGCTGAAATTATTCATCAAGGATCTCTTAAACAAAACCATACGCATAACTAAAACATCAATAAAATAAAAACATAAAAATCGTAATAAATAGTTCAGATATATGCTGGAGGAGCTGGAACTTACAGAACAATTGTAGAAGAAGAAGAAGAAGAAGAAGAAGGTCCTGACTAGAGAGGCTTTTGAGGATAATGTGCTTTGAATACTTTATTCGGATTCTTGTCAAGCGGTTGTGTTTCGTCTGTCTCGATTCTATCATCATTTTGGGTTTAGAAAACCGGTTTTTTCGGGCAGTAAAAAACATGTAGTGGTTTTCTTGCCAAGATGTTGACCTAAACACACGAGGGCTGCCAGGTAGACTGATGGCGAGGGACAGGTGTCAGTCAGAGAGAGCGAGTGTATGTCGTGTGAAGTGTCTGCGAATGGTGGGGTTTTAGAAGCGACTGAGGTTTGGTATTCTCTGACGTATGGGGATGTGACACGTGGCATGATGAAAGTGAGATATCTCATATTTTGATGGGAAAATTTCCTTAAACGCTGTAGAAATTAATTTATAGCGAATTCCTAAAATTCTAAAAATATCAATTTAGTTTTTTATAGATTTTATGTGGACAAAACTAAAATTAAGTTTTTGAAAAAAAAAACATAAATTATCCTAATTTTTTAAGTTAATTGTTCATTTTTCATATAATATTTATTTTTTTATATGAATAGTTCATGCATATAACTTTACTTGTTTATATTTATAGTGGTGTTATATTATTAATGAGATTTATTAATTTTACTCACATCAGTTATTTATTTTTTTACGTGGGTTGCTCATAAGCCTAATTTCATTTGTTTATATTTACAGTAATGTTATATTGTTAATAAAAGTTATAAATGTCTCTTACATTAATTATTTATTTTTTATACATTAATTGTATATTTAATTTCTTTACGTCGCTTGTTTTTATTTAAGAGAATTAGGGTTCTTTGTATTTTTTTCTTCAAAAACTTAATTTTAATTTGACTTAAATGGGGCTCACATGATCTGAATTGATATTTCTAAATTTTAAGGGTTGATTGTAAATAAATTTGGTTAGAGTTTAATGAAATTTTTCGTATGTCGATTATGGATTTGGCGATGAGCAGCCAATGGTGACGTCATTCTTGACATTTTTACCAGAGTTATCCCGGTCTCTCCCATATCATGTTTGTTATAGATATAATTAAATTATTAATGTTATTTAAAAAAAATTTTAGTCTATCCTTGTTAAATACTGCCTGTAAAAATATTTTGTATTTTTTACGATAAAAGGAAACGATAGAAATATATTTTGTCTTTCATGTGTAACTTTCTTCCCTATTGGTAACAAATTACAAAGGAGTAAAATTAAAAGAAAGTAATTAAGGGTTAATCTTTTTTATATAATGTGACTCAAAGGAATCATCACTCCATTCTAAAACATGATTTATATATAGGACGGGAAGAATTAGTTCCGGTTTAAATGAAAAGCATATTTTTAAAAGCAATATTTGATCTAAAATTTAAGTGTTCTAAAAATCCAAATTATTACTTGTTCCAATCATTTTTAACAACAAATAATTAATTCTCAAAAATAAAAAAATTATAGTTAAAACAGTTGTATTTAGCACTCACATTTAGTCCCCGACAGTATCTCAAATAAGATTGTTTCCAATAAGAGGATGATACCTATTAGCAATTAGAATAGTTGGATTAAAAAATGTTACAAAAATAATTCTTTTATGAAATATCCTTATTTAGTAATTGACCAAGGATCTTTAAATTTTAATAATTGATTTCATTAATAAATACTACACTTTTTAATGAGTGTTAGGGGATGGATGATAAATGCTTCCTATAAAAGGTTGTTATTTTTAATACTCTCTTGACCTCTGGTTCCACACACACACACACACATATATATGGCAAAGAGTGAATATTTGTTTTGGTTCTATTTATAAGTTATCTCTATGATTTTTGTATCCGTCATTATCAATTTGCATCTATTAAATATTTTTAAGGTTATTAAATATTGGAGTGTTATATTTTATTGAAGTATGAATCTCAACATATCTAATAAGGATAAAGTTGGAGACTTCTTAAATTTTTAAATAAAGTTAATCAAATTTAAGATTTTATTGATTTTTGGTGAAACATTTTGAAAATAATTTATAAATAAAATAAAAAAGAGAAAAGAACAATATCAATTGTCTTATAAAAAGGTCTCAAGGGAATATACCATCTTAAATTTTTTAACTATACTCTTTTTGTTTAATTGAGCTCCATAATGTGTTCTAGGCAATATTTTAAAAACTGGACCAAAAGATGAACCGAAAAAGTCAGCGGATCACAGTTTTCATAGTTTAACCGTTTAGAATAGTGGTTGAATCAGTGATATAATATTAAATAAAAAATAATATTTCTATGCATATATATAATATTAAAAATAACAAAATACTAGCACTATCATTCTGGTTCAAAGTTGTTCAGTAATAATATATTAAATTTTAATTTTTCTCATTTTTCATATGTATACATTTTTGTTTACCTTTTTTGTTCATTTAAACCAAATGAGTTTTCAATTCTCTACACTTTCATTAATATAATGCTAATAAATAAATTGTGCACTCAATATTTCACTATAATAAGCTAGAAGTAGATATTAATATTTTAAAATTGAATAAAAAATTTTACTATTAAAATAAGTTTAAAAAGAAAAAATGGTTAAAAAATTAAATCATTCTAACCAATTCGACCGTCTAGATTAGTTTGGGTCTCTAAACATTAGTTATAGGAACTTAATCGTATTTTTGGTATAGCTAATTAGACTAAAATTGAAAGACATTTAATTTAAAAAGATTAAAAACAAAGGCAACTTTTTTACAAGGTATAAATTAGCTTGAGTTGCCATAAATTTAAAAATTTAAGTACATCCATAACTCTCAATAAAATGTGTTTAGTTTTATGTTTGAGATTCACTAAAACTAGTAGTAGAAATAGGCTAAGCTAAGTTAGGCTTTGACTAAATAAGCCTGAATTTGTATGATAAATTAGAGGCCTAAACCTAACTTAAAGTAACATTGAGCGTACTTAAAGCTTGATCTAACTTAAAAGCTTATTTAAAAGTCTACTGAAAAGTAAACATTTTAAATAGGCTTATATTTTAGTTTTAAACATCTCAAATATGTTTTAGAACTATTAATATATAATATATAACTTGATTTATCAATTATAATATATAGTAATTAAAATGACTAAGTAATAATATTAAAATCAATATCTAAGTCCAATTAGATTGGGAACATAACCAAAAATAAAAAAGAATAGATTGATTAAAAATTAAAGGGTTAAACTAATATGTATGTGATATATTACATATATGTGTGTGTAAATATGTCGGCATGTTGGGCTCATAGGATACGCCTTAAAAAAATAGGCTTGGTTTATTTAATTAAATAAGCCTAATTAAAGACCTAAACCTAACCTAAGCTTATTTAGTAAATAGGTTAGGCTAAATTTGAAGTAGGCCAAGATGTAGGCTTCTAATAAAGGCTTGGCTTATTCTCAACCCTAACTAAAACCATAAAATATTTTACTAGTTTGTAAATATTTTTAGCGTAGATATTGGTTTGTAAATCGAAATCACTAAATAAAAGAAAAGAATATTTTAATTAATTTCAAATCTGAACCCAAATAAAAGGTTTTCAATTTAAGTGATTAATAATTAATGGATTGATCTATGGAGAAGTCAGGCTGAAAAAAATAATGTCTGGATTTTTATAGATCCCTTATAAATTATTTGTGAATTGAATTAAAAAAACTGTATCTTGTCAAAAAAATTTGAACATAATGTACGTAAAATATTATTTTTCCTGAAACATATAAAAATAGATAAATACAAGTTGATCTGCAAATCATGTGCTCCACTGAAGATGGTGCTTCTTTTCGCGCTTAGCATGATAAGCGACCAAAATTATCATGCTCACATGATTAGCATTTATGAGATTTTTTTTACCCCAAATTTTATTCCTAAGATGCTTAGGAAGTTGAGTATGGCCCTTTTCTGAATTTTTTTTGAGTACACTCTCACTTTTATATTCTTAAGTTGTATATATTTAACAAATTTTTTAATTCTGTTGGCAAAAATATATTTATTAAATTTCTTGCGCTCAGATCATCCATATGAAGTGGCACGTGACGGAAGAAACAGCTAGCATCCACGATAAATTAATATTAATTTTTTTTATTACTCACCGTTATTATTCCAGCAAACCTATTCGAGATAGGTGTTGGAACGCCCTAGCCTACTTTAAGATCAGTCTATTCTATTTATTAAATATAATAAATAGACTCAAGTTAAATTTAAACATTTAATTAGGCCTATTTAATTAAGCCATACTTATTTTTTAAGGCCTAGTCTGTAGTCCAATAGGTCGATCAATTTACATACACACATTATATAATATAATACATACATATTAGTTTTGTCATTTAATTTTTAATTAATTTATTCTCTTTTATTTTTAGTTATATTTTTAATTAGATTAGACTTATATATTAATTTTAATATTATTAATTTATTATTGTATTGTATTATAGTTGATAAGTTTTTTTAATTATTATATATTATAACTAATAAATTAAGTTATATATTTATATTAATAATCCTAAAGTATATTTAAGACATTTAAAACAAAAAATGTGAGCTTACTTAAAATGTTTATCTTTAAGTAGGTTTTTAAATATGTTTTCAAGTCAGGCTCAAATTTTTGATTTACTATACAAACTTAAGTTTATTTAATCAAAGTCTAGCTCGGGTTAACCTCACCCTAGATATAATCAAATATTAAATGTGGCCCCTTTTGTAATTTGGAAGTTGTGATAAATTAATATTCTTCCCCATTAAGTTCGGTCATGACAGACTCAAACATTGCCTAGTCCCAAGTAA